AATACATACATGTTTCATAGTGTGTGCTCAGTAAATGTCATTGAATGAATAATGAATCAACCTTCCTGTCAGTAAGCATGAATCCAAAGTTATTCTAGAACATTACAGACTCTAAAGATTTCCATATAATTACAAACACTTTACTAAGTTAGATATAAAGGTCATTGAAGACAGGGTAAATATGTATAGTAAATTATTTCCAAATTTTAAATAAACTATAACATCTACAATGTAGAAATCCCTATAGTCATGATTGGGAGTATAAAGATGATTAGATCATGGTCTCAACTTTGAGAAACTTACTATTAAATAAAGAGGGTGGAGCATGTGCTCAATAAAATTAAGTGTCAGTGAATGGAACACTGATTTAAAAGATCAGAGAAATATGTATGGATGGAAAAAAAAAAGATATTTGAGTTTGAACTTGAAATTAGATATGTTATGATGAGTTGAGGAAGAGAAAATAGGGTACTCCATGTGCAGGAAAAACAAGAATTGAAAAGGAGAATATGAAACAAGTATAAACAAAATTGTAGACATATAAATTCACACAATTTCTGTTGGAAAATCACACTGAATGCTCTGTGGCAGAATTTGAGAGCTGGGGGACTGTGTTTAGACATCAGTTCTTTAAAAAGTATATTATATGGGACCATGATTGCAGGCTAAATTTGAACTTTTTATTTGGCCTCATTTCCAGAAATATGTTAATGGGTGTTGAGTGAGGGGAGGAGTCAATTTGCCTACATAAATTTGTAAAATGTGAGGTGAATCTCGACTACACAAAATTGCTTACTGTAAGATTCCTCATAAGTCTTTAGTTCATGGATACCAACAAGGGGACATATTATGAATTTCTCAAACACTTTACCACCAGACCACTTTCTGTGACTCATCTATCTGGACTGATATTTGTCTTCCAGACACATGTTGGGAACCAGTGAGTTTTGACAGTAAAGAGTCACAGATAGTATTAAGACAGAGAAATGACATGGTGAAAGTACTGATTAAGGAAAAATAATATGGAGGTAGTAGTTGAGAGAGTCTGATATCCTCTGCAATGAGGGAGTTGGGAACATAAGCTGTAGTGATACATTAATAGTAGGGATGAATAGTTCTATTTTAATATACAAAGTAGTATAGTACATTTTATATCCAATCACTGCTTAGATATGAACTACAGAGTAACAAGGGCTACAAATAGACTTGA